TCACAGCTGCAAAAGAAAATCAATGTAGTAAGTATAAGCCAAATATAAAAATATAAACAAAAAAGAAAAAAAGAAGTTATATCGAAGAACCTCCCATTCCACACCTCCATATATTGGAGACTCCACGTGAATGTGTTCTATGTCAATATGAATATGGCCTTTGAAATTGTCCAGAGTATACTTAGTCGAAACCACTCGTCTAGCACGCCTTTGGGATTCTTGTTGAAGAATTTTTATAAAATCCACACAGACGAATCAATATGGGAATGAAGGGCTAAAAGCTACACCAAAATCAATAGATGGTAGTCGAGGGAATTTTGGAGGACAAAGATTAAAAGCTAATTCGTAACGTTGATCATGTCGAACGCACAAAGGAAGTTTTAAGTCCTCTAATTTCTTTGTAAATTTTTCTTTTAAAGTCACGGCTGCTTTGCTAATGGTTCAACTAAGATGATCTGGCCTGTAGGTAGTTTCAAAGTATTTCTGGAATGCTTGGATCTCTTTGAAGGTAGTTACATCAAAGAATTCAACAGTATGATATTCTCTCCACCACTCGTCGAACTCCCTGGTGCAAAGAAAGCTTGGTTTGAAAGGCACATAATTGAACTCTGTAAGATCAGAATACTTGGCAAGCAACTTGGTACATTCTGCTTCATTGTGCCACATGTTGTAATGAATCAACGAACCCTTTTTTGGAAATGGGGGTTTGGGTTTAATCTGAATCAACCCAAACTATTGAAAGACGAGATTTGGTTGATAGCTAATAAGAGCAATTTAAAGCGTGGAAGGGTTGAGCCTTGAGGCCAGTAGTCTTGGTGTAAGGAAGGATTCCCAAATATCAAGAGATTCAGCTTCTTGTTCCTTCGATTCCGGAGGAAATATTCTTGTGAACCATTCAAGGCCTACCTTTCTATTAGAAAAAGGGGCCATGTTGGAAGAAAAATTATGATGCTTAACAAACATCATAATGTAACTGGTGAATGTCTGGTGAAGGTTCATTCCTTCTTCATTAGAAGTCAACAACGTAAGCCTCATCCCTTCAACTCTTCTGCTTTTCACTTCAACGAAATCTTCATTGATGGGGTTTCGATTAGGAAGGGAGGCTTCTAAAGTGGCATTCAGCCATAATTGTAGTAGCTAGAAAGGTCCAAAAAGAAGCAAGCTTCCTTTCGTCTTGATGGTTTTCAATGCTGCGACACCTTCGCCAAGAGATTCATACAAGTTGGCTAGAATGATTTTGCTGAGACAAGGTCATGTCCAGCATGCAATTGGTTTGCCATGGTCAAGTACCTCTTCGCCACTTTGAGAAACCTTAATTAGAAGATGAAGCGTGAGAGCCAGAGGGCCAAGAAGGCAACATGTTCTTGGTCAGAAACCTCGTTGGTTTCTTTGTCATGATAATTGGTGATATAAGTGGTGAAGGCTGCTTTGTTGGTATCGAAACCTATCGAGTCATTAGCTAAGAGATTGAGGTTATAGTCCACTTCAATGGGTTTAGCAATGACGTCGAAAAGAGTAAAAATGGTAACTTTCACTCTTTTATAGACGGTTTGAAGTGGAACAGTTACTGTGCACGATCACTGTATATCATTTATGGTGATAAAAATCATGGGACGCGTGTCATGTGAGGGTGGTGTGATGACACGGTAGTAGTTAAAGGTCTGACCCATGATCTCCTAGGGACTAGACGTGTGATGATGAAGAAATATTCATGCATGGGCTTGAGAAGAAGTTTGGGGAAAGTTGTCATGATGACAATGACGTCATAGCTGTCCAAGAGATTATGTTGGCGTCGAATGAGAAAGCTTCAAAAAAGGCCTTATTCTTCATTTTATTCGAAAATGAGATTTTTTGGGGGCAATTTGTTGGCTGGGAATTTCAACGCCATGTTCCTATTTGAGAAACTAAGTAAAAATGAAATTTTATTAAGCTTGGTTGATTTTGACAGGGATTGGTGTGAGATTCTGTCGAAATGGTTCTCATAAAGAGATATGCTTGAGCAAATACTTAAAAATATTTTCTAAGTATAAGAAGTTACTTCGAGAAAGGGATGTTATAAGGCCTTCCTTCGACATACATTTGAATTTCAAATATGGATGGATAACTGTCTTTTGTCTTTATCTGTTTCTTAAGAGAAGAGGCGTGGCAGACCATGGTGAAACAAAAGCATACAGGGGTGAAACGTGTTAACTTTTAAAGAAATGTTCGTTATAGGCAGTCATTTCGACGTATTATAAATAGGGGTCTTAGTATTAGAATTTCTGTGTGTTCAATTATTGCATTGTACTCAAATTTACTCAAAGTACCCAAGTTAACGTGAGAAAAGAGTCATTGTTGAGAAATGTACGTTTGAAACACCATACATTTTATTCAATAGAAATTTACTTTCTTTTATTCATTGCTCTTTACTGCATTTCTTTTTACTTTGAAGTTATTTTTCTCCATTGTTTTACTTTACCAAACTTTTCCAAAGTTTAGCCTTTTTCAAACAAAACAATCAAGCAATCTTTTTTACAAACCAATGAATATTGTCGAAGTGTTCTACGAATTTTCTAAAAAAACATAAAACACCATAGCTATGTCCTTAGGATTCACTGGTTGATCATGCAAGTGAACCAAATAAATTAGTGTTTTGGAAGACCAACGGTTGTTTACCAATTTTCACGGTAAACACCACTAGGTAATCGAACACTGCTGTTGCATTATGTAAATTCACCATCATTGAAGTTGGCATGCCATATGACTGTTCTCGCTCGTTTAAGGGCATTGTGAACCCAAACACAAAAGGCCTGAATGGACTAGTGCCCACTAGAGCAGGGGTTATAGGTCCACTATAAGCATTCGAAGGTACGACTGTCGTACTTGTTGTGGATGGAACCACTTCAAACACAGACGTTGTGGCTGTAGTCGAAGGAGTGGGTGGTTCTCCATTAGTGTTTGGCGAATTCGTCATCGTTACACGCACACGTCTCCTTCTTGGTATCACTTTGTTATTAGTGATTATTTTACCACTTCTTAATCTCATGCAATAAAGTTTAAAGGAAACCAAAAATGAAGAACTTCTAAATACTTTTCACAAATTCTAACTAACATCGGTCCCATTGGACATGCCAATTTGTTTACTGTCGAAATTGGTAAACAACCGCTAGTCTTCCAAAGTTATTAAATCTTTGGTTTCTTATAAGATCAACTAGATTGATACTAAAACATGTGTTGTTATTTAGTTTATGGGTTTATTAATGATGAATATTTCAACAATGCTCTTAAAGTTGTTAATAAAGTGTTGTAAATTCTTTAAGAAAATGCATAAAAGTAAAGATTACAAAGTAAAGACTTTAAGGTAAATGATAAGATCTTAAATTGCATCAAATGTAAGTTACAAGAAGAAATCTTAAATAATCTGGTAAAAATGTAAAATATGATGTTCATACGTACATTTTACCTCAAGAATACTCTTTTCTCACACACAGGTACTTAAAAGGAAATTTAGATTTTTTGTACAAGTTGAACATCATGAATCCTAACTGTTAAGACTTTATTTATATTAAATAAAAAATAACCGCTATCTAACGGGTTTTTCGCTAGAAAGCGCCACATTTCTAATCTGCATGCATTTCATCGCTTCAAAGCTCTCCACGTGTCTTAAAAATGGATATGACCAAAAGACAGTTATCAACCTTAAATTTGAATTACACCTATCAAACGCTTCTTCAAGTAGCTTCATCGAACTCCAGTCTAGGCCAAAAATCTTTCTAAGTCCTAGATCATAGCGCCCCAATGCAAAGGTTTCTTCGGCTAAGTCTTCAAATCTTTCCTGTCAAAAACAACATTCTTTTTCAGAATAATCCTTCAAACTCTAATAACTCATTTCAAATCTTCATATACGTCAAAATCTTCTTGTCATTATTTGCTGCCGTAACCATCATATTCTTTTTTGGAATATATCTTTGAATTTTATGACTTATTTCTATTATTAATATGTGTCGAAATCTCAACCAACACAAGTCCCTTTATCTCACTTTCTTGGATGATGGATAAGATTCGAACATGTTTAAGATCAACCCTTAAAGGCCCTGTATAATTATGTATATCATACTTAGTCGAAATTACTTTTTGGGTAGGTTTTTTAAAACTTGTTAGCTAAGATTGACAAAGATCCACAATGAAACTATTTTGAAAATGACGGCTAAAAAGCTAAACCAAATTCACAAGCTGGTAATGGAGAAAATTGAAAAGATGAAATTTTGAAGCAAAATTATATCTATCTTATGTAAGAAAATTAAGTTTGGATCTTTTTTCAGTGATTTTCTGTTTCAAATTAGAAGTTGTCTTATAAATAGTTAGACTAAGTTAACAAAGATTATACACAATTTCGAAGTTTTAAAAACTCGAATCTCCTTAATGTGCGTACCTCGATCTTTCTTCTTGATTTGATTCTGTAGAGAAGAAAAAACGTTGATTAAACGATGTATAATCGAGTGATCCTCATAAATATCAAGAAGAGTTAGATTATTTTTCAAATTCTTTTATGCATAAATAAAAATCTTTGAAATTCAAGAAGAGTTAGATTAATAACTTCTTAACATGAAAGTCTAAACATTGTATTAAAATATAAACCACTCAATTCTTCAACAACCAAAAAAATAGCTGAATCAATCCAATATATATCATCTCTAGTATCCACTTTTGTCTCCCTTTTTATCTTTTATCTTTTCTGTCTCACTTCCTCTTCTTATACAATAGTAATTACAAACACATAATTAAAGAACATCCTAATCAAGAGAACTCAACTCAAGCACTAAACCCAAAAAGAACCCTAAAGTGCCCCATTTCCTGCTAAAATGAACAACCTCCACAATCCCTATTTAACACGATGCCCCACCTCTCATAACAAACTAACCCAACCATTTTACACACCACACAAAATTTGGGGCAAAATAATCATAAGTTTGGTCCTAAAACAACCAAAGAAAGCAACAAAATGTTGCTAATCTCAAATTCTAAGGTGAAGAACCCCACAATATCTCAGCACTAACACTAGCAAACTCTGCATCTGATCTTGAAGCTTCCTTAACCAACCTCAACATCTCTAATTTCACCTCACTTTTCTCTTCACAACTCAAACCTTCACCAACTTCCAATTGTATCGCAAATCTCGAAACACAACCATCAAAAACACAATCATCTCTTCTCTGCAAATCCATTAGTATCTTCACCAAGCTTTGTTCCATCATTGCTTCAATAACTTCCCTTCTCCCAATATAACCAAGCTCAAGAACACAATCCAAAGCCGCAACACGAACACACAAATCTCTCGACAACAAAAACTCAACAATAGTTGAAATCTCTCCCTTAGAAAAAATCTCATCAACCAAAGGACTTCGAATGATTCTAACAAGTAAACACAGAACCTTTATAGAACATTCAGAAGCCATTGATATCAAAGCTTTAATCGTTGGACCCATTAACACTAACCCAACAAACACGTTCTTGTTGAATTTCACCAACTCTGCTATCGCCATAGCAGATTCTTCTCGAACCCTTTTCGAATAAAAACTTTCAACCAAAGTAGTTTCCAAAAGGGTGAACACTTTCGCCCGCAAAATCAAATCTTGAAACTCCAAATCAAAACCCTTCGACAACCTCTGTTGAAACTCGACAATAGCCTGAACCTGTTCCTCTTCGTTTTCTTGTTCTTGAAGTGCTTTCACGAGGTTTATAACGATGACACGATCTAAGTAGATTTGAATTTCGGATTCTAAAGAGGAAGAAGCTTGGGAAATCTTGTATGCGATGATTTGGCGTTGGAGGATGGATTTAACTCCGTGGGGTTTGCAGTTTTGGAGATTTTCGATTAAGGTTTTGAGAGTTGTGAGTGAGTGAGAGAGACTGTGGAGATTTGGGTGAGATGAGAAGATGATGGTTGCTTTTGATTCGAGTTCAAGGAGAGCTTCAATGGCGGATTTAGAGTCGGGTTTGAAGAGAAAAGTGAAAGGGTTGGTTTTGGTTTGGAGATGTTTGGAAGCTTCTTTGAGGGCGTTGAGAAGAGTTATGACACGGTGTTTGGAAGAGTGATCATGATCCATGAGAGAGAGAGAGAATTTGAGAGGAAAGAGGTAGAAGAAGAAAAGACAAGAGAGGGAAGAAGAGAAAACGAAACTCAACAAACAGTCATTGCATCTGTCGTTCCTTCTCACGAATGGAGTGGACCAGACGAGTTAGTACACGTGAATGTTTTTTTCTTCATTCATTCCTATTTTCTTTAGTTTTCTAGAATATAGATGTAGATTACTATTTCTTCTAAAAGTTAGATTTTTAGATTTTTGTTTTTGGAAAAATAGATGTTTTTCTTTTTATAGTATTAGAACAATTTTTATCACTTTTGATTTAGTCATGATAATTGAATAAAAATCTTACTATATTTAGTTTATTTATATATATTTTTAATAGATTTAAATTGGTTAAATAAATTATTTGTAATCTTTTAATCAATTTGGTTTTTACTATCTTTTAGGGCGGGCAATGAACCGAACCAACTCGAAAATAATTCGGAATTTGATTCGACAATTAAATCGTTGAACTAGGTTCATAAACTTAATGAGTTGAGTATGAGCGAAAAATTAAGTTCGTTAACTAAATGAGTTGAACTTGAGCTATACATAGTTCGACTCGTTAGTTCATGAGTCAACTCGATTACATATGAGAAGAATTATACTGTCTTTAAGATTATGTTTAAATATTTACTCCAAATCTTAGATAAATTTAATCTTCAATTTAGTAGTTTTTGAATTAGACTCTCAAATGTATCTCTTAAAAGTTGTGTAGGTTTTGAATTAGTAGATTTCGAAGATAAAGTTAAATTTCAATATGATAACTTTTATTTTATTTTAATATTTTATTTAAAAAATATATATTTATTTAAAATATTAAATATACTAAAAAATATATTATTTAAAAAAATAGTTTTTAAGTATGTGAATCATGTGAGTTGAACCTAATGAGATGAACCTAACGAATTGAACCGAACTGTTCGTGAACTTATAACGAGTCGAGTTTGAGCTTAAAAAAAAGTTCGTGTCGAACTCGAACTCGAATCAATTCTTAACGAGTCGAGCCGAGCTGAGGTGAGTTCGACTCGACTCGACTCATTTCCAGCCCTACTATCTTTCTATTTTTATCAATAAAATATTATATATATATGATTTAAAATTTAAATTTAAATAAAATTTAAATATATGTTTCATTTTAGAATCAAAATTAGTATGTAATGATGGTGAAAATCCTGAATCAAGGGTGTTAATATTCAAAACGGCAGCGTGGAGTGGACCTGCAAGATTAGTAATGTAACGTATAAGTCATTTTAGAATTCGAGATGAGTGTAACAAAAAATGAAAATAAAAGTGTACCTCGAACATTATGTGTGAAGGTTTTATATGTTAGGTCGTTTGGATTGAATTGGTATTGAATCGGGGCTTGACTTTTTTGGCCTTTGGCCCATCCATAACAGTTTTTCCCTAGGTTTGCCAAGCGGTTATTAGCCGTGGAAGTCTTAGAAGTTCTGGCCGGCCTCCAGGAATGATGTTCAGTCTTGTTCAGAACTGGAAACCCCTTGGATCAATTGCAAAAAAAGTGGAAAAAAGGCACATTAAATTTCTTCACATAGTTGAAACATTTTGCTGCTCTTCCCTGACGTGTTGCTTGAGATGACAGGTCAGGGCATGCTGCTTCTTGTAATACACTAGAGTGCACTTGAGTTTGTTTACGTTCACTAGGAAGAATCCATTCGTAGATCTTGTAACATCAATCTATTATTGATCTAGTCCATTATTTGTCTTCACACACACACACACAAATATATATATATATATATATATATATATATATATATATATATATATATATATATATATATATATATATATATATATATATATATATATATATATATATATATATATATATATATATATATATATATATATATATATATATATATATATATATATATATATATATATATATATATATATATATATATATATATATATATATATATATATATATATATATATATATATATATATATATATATATATATGGGTTTTTGTGTATTAAGGGATTTTTTTCGCAATCTTTGAGAGTCATTTCTTTTTGTAAGTGCATTTTCTCTTCTTTCCCAAGAGTATTTACTAGAGCAATTATAGTTCCTTGCCCAAATCTTTCATTCTTCTTCATTACACTTTGATTTCTCCTCAGCTTCTGCTTTACCAAGTACCCTCCTTATCTGAAGCTTTAAATATCTTCAACATTTTATTTATCTTAGTCAATATTAGCGGTAATCTCATTAGCTTGCCTAGCAATTATGAGAGTGATGAATCTTCCGTAGTGAGAGGAGGACTATCTTTAGGTTCAAATTCTTTCCCTTTTTTCTATGATTGCCTTGGTCGTGAGGTCATCTCTATAACCGATGATTCTAATTCGGAAAGATTCTCTATGGGTTCTCCTAATGAGGGAGCTTCCTCTAGAGATTCTTCTTTCAACAATATCTTCTTTGATGACAACATTGAAGGTTGTCATGTGGCAACTTTCATGCCCCCTTCTTCTCATGCCAATGGAGCTTCAGTTTCACCTTCTCTGATGACCCCTAGAGATGGAGGATAGTCTCTTAAATAACATGGGTGCCAAAGAGTTTGGTCTGATTGGTGGGTCCTTCCGGTAGGTCCGAAGAAAAGGATATGCAACACCTTTGAAGGGTGTTCAATCCCCTTTTATAAGTGTCTACATAACAGGGTAAACTTACGGTTACCTCTATCTGAGTTTGAGGTAGAGATGTTGAGGTATCTTTGTGCCTAAAGATTCCCCCCCCCCCCTCCCCCCCCCAACTTCAGTTGGGCTCCTGGGCTTGTATGAAGATTTTCCAATTTTAGGTTGAGCATAAGTCTTAGGATCCTTCTCCTTGATTGTTTTTCAATTTGTTCCACGTTGTACATACTTCCTAGAATTGTTAGACGACGACAATGATCTAGAAGGCGGGTTGAATAGACCATTTATCCTTAAACAGAGTCAGTACTTATAATAAATTAGTTTTTAAAACTTTTAAGCGGAAGCGGCCAAAGAACTACAATCGTCTAAATGAGCTGTTACCAAAAAGATTGGATATACGCTACGCCTATATGAAATACCGATAAAGATGAGAAATTGAATCAAAAGTTTGAACACAAATCAATATGATTTTGTTCACTCAAAGATGTTCAATTTCCAATGCTTGTGAGAAATGAACCAAATTGAATTCGCAAACTAAGTAAAATTCACTAAGTAAATGTAGTGCTAAGCTTTTTCGATTACAATCAAACGGATTGTAATGAGTTTTCTAAATATGTTTCAGCACTACTATAAACCAGAATTTTAGTCAACCAATTTGTTTTCATACAAACTTAAAATTCAGAAATGAAAATAGTAAAACGAGAGAATAACACCAATTTGTTGAGGCAGTTCCCCCGTCGTCCTCGCTCGGGGTACGTCTGCCCTCAATTCTAAAAATAGAATTGAGACCTGTATATAGAACCTGTTACAAATTGTTTTTACAAGAGAAGCAGTAGAAATCAAACCATCAATCCTAATCATTGATGATGAACCTATGTCTTCTCTTCCCTTGATTCAAGATGAATCAAGTCCTTCGAATGTGATGAGTAAAACTCCGATTACGGCATCACCTTTGAACAACCCACTGGTCTCCAAATCTTTGCCCGACTGATTTCAAACACCCACAATTTGAACCCAAACCTTCCTTCCACAATCCTCCGGTTAACGCCACTAAATTGACAGAACCTCCCATTCTTCAATTACCTTCGCTCGATTGGATCTTTGAAGGAATGATTTGTGCAAAAAAACCCCAAATCCAAGATTTTTGGAGGAAAAAATTCTAACGGATTTATTCAAGAAAAACCCACTGATCTCTCAACCCAAACCCGATACACCGATCCTATGTTTGGACTTTATCACCTCAATGATGCAGAATGCACAACAAAAATCATTTTGTGTATTTGTTGAGAAAGTGCAAGAAAGAGAATGAAGATGATGAGAGCCAAATCAATGTATATTTTCACTTTTCTTGTTATTGTGTGTAGAATGAACTAAAACAATATATATGCTAAGCTTTGACCAAATAACCAACATAACAAACACTTTGAAAGATAAACATAACAGAAAAATAGTGTGAAACGAGCGAACGGTCGACCTAAAGAATAGGGGGGTCGACCTGAGCTCTCCCAAATACAGAATTATGCAGAAAAAGACTCTTTGCATTGACCGGAATAGGCCCATGCATCGACACAAAGCAAACCAGTTTTGACAAATACAGATGCACACAGTATGAGTCGACCGGAGGGTCGACGCGAGCTCTCCTGATAGCAAATCTCAAAAATACGTTATGCATGAGTCGACCTAAGCAAGCTTTGAGTCGACTCAAAGACTCAGAACTTGCAAAAATGCTGATTTTGATATGTCTTGCTATTTATAAGTGCTCCTAATGCATATCTAACTCAACCAACATGATCAAACTCACATAGAACACATATAGTGCTTTTTCTAAATGAACTAGCACATGTTTTTGTTAAATGCTTGACACGAGAAAAATAACGAATGCATATGCGACTCGATGATACCGTCCAAAATACACATTTCTAACTATATATGTTTTAACATCATTAAAACAAGTATAAACAAGTATTGAGATACTTTTCTCTCACATACTCCCCCTTTTTTATGATGGTAAAACAGTAGCAAAACAATTGAGCATATTGTGTAGTATCATCCTCCCCCTAACTTTATGCATTCAACTAGAAATAATCTGGATGTTTGATCAGTATTGTAGAATGATTTGTTGTTTTTGCTATGGTTCTTCTCTCCCTTTTACAATATCAAAAATAAATAAGAAATAGGTCAACGAAAAACATAGGATATTGAATTAAGCATATTTACCGAATTTGCAACAGAGAAGCATTAACAAATATTCACATATAATGGTGTTAATGAAAAATGTATGAGAAGATAAATAGAGGACATAGAAAATGACCAAAAGACGTAA